CCCGCGGGCCGTATGTTTGACACCCCTGGGCTAGACGATGACGCATTTATGATGCTGCGACCTAGCCAAAATATTGCTTTTAATGATTTCATTGTAATATGTCATGTTATCAAACTGGGCATGATTTATTTAATCGTATCATTTGATTACTTCAGGAGAATATTTTGTTGGACAAGGAAAACAACGCAGCAGTGAGTGACTTCGGAGGGAGCATCTTTATCAGAGGTGAGACTATGATATGGTGAGACAAGAGCCCAGTAAAGCAGTATTTTATCGGCGGTTAAGACCTCTAATGTGTATGATTCTCCCACAGGTCGGCCCACCAATCAGACGCTGGCCTACATGGCTCCGGAGCGTCTCCTTGGCAGGTGTTGTACCACAGCCTCTGACATGTGGAGCCTCGGCTGCACGCTGGCTGAGCTCGACTGGGGCCTATTTCTCTTCAAAGGGAAAGACAAAGGCGACATTTTCAACTGTATAACGAGGGTAAATATAAGCTCATAGCAATTCACTCTTAACATTTGGACTGCCATCATTGTTGGGAACTTGAACGTGACTGTTCCTTAGGTGCTGGGCCTACCACCATTAGACTTGCTGGCTGCAGCGAGCAGGAAAAACTACTGTATAGGTGAGGTGTTCGAGGCTTATTTTAACACAATCTTTGGTGCAAGAATCTTGTCGTGATCATATGCCCACCCAATTTCCAGACGGCTCGGAGTCTGAAGACAAAAAGCCACCAAAAACCCCTCTGGCCACCAGACTGAAGTCGAAAAATCCAAAGTTTCTGGACTTTATTCGGTGCTGTCTCGAGTAGGTTCACCCACTTTTCGTGAAATACCACTACAACAACCTTCAAGTAGTCAAACTGGGGCACAGATTTGTTTGAGGGTCTATTAAGTGCTTGTGCATCGCTGAGCAGATACGATGCAACAAAGCGGCTCACCCCGGAGAAGGCTTTGCGACATCCCTGGATCAAGCAGGCAACCAAACATACTTGTGAGTCCACCGCAACACATCTCTGCTTGTACACGTTATGTATTTGCACTGAGTGTTGAAAACGCCTATTTTTGATGTCGGTGAATGCAGGACTTGGACCCAGTCTGATGTAACGCAACCACTCATTGATAAACTGCAATGACTGTAACTTTTGTATCAGCAATATTTAAGATACTTTGTTTTATGAACGCAGTCCCTGGGTGTAATACCTATGCTGCTTGAATACCCACTTGCCTAATTTGGAACTCATTTGCAAGTTATAAGGTCTGAACTTAAAGCGTTCCTACTCTTGAGTGGTGGGGTCAGGGTACATGGACATGCTCTGGGAGTCCGACCTCTGACCCTCAAGGGTGTTCCATTGCATTTGTCCTATTGGAAAATTATAAAATTCCCAGTTTTCTGGAACACGGCACAAGTGGCAACGCTGTTGATTTCATCAACTCAACCTGGCCCTGGTGACAATGACAATATGTTTGCTATTGTTGCATCTACAGTTGTCATCAGTCTTGAAGATGTCTTTTTTTGTGTTTGAATTTGTTCAGATAACAGACCAACGATAAGCAGCTTACTGAAGAGAGAGAAGATTCCCCCGCCAATGTTGCAGCCAACGACGCAATTCAAATAAGTTCTTCAGATCAACAATACCGGACTGGA